TACTGCCCAATACATAATTACAGATATTTATAGGAGTTGAACAAATAGAATTATAGTTGTATGTCATAACTTGCATAGTTGGTTTCATGATGATATACATGATGTTTCTGACTATCACATAACATTTTCCTCTGAGAAATTGGATGGAGCAGGGATACCTACCTCTCTATGTCCCTGACAATAGCTACACATATGAGACTTTTGATTGAAAGATGAAAGATGAGGGAGGATGTGTCTAGAATCATTCTCAGTTTTGGGATTTGCACACTTCCCTTGGTTTTGGCTTCTTTGTCTAAAGGATACTAGATTAAAGCTGGCCCACTAACTTAATATATGTTAAAGGGTGGACCATTCACTTAGTATATGAGAATCAAGTGAAGAAAACTGAAGAGTTTAGACCTGGAAATATTGATTTTTGAGGTTCAAATTCACTGCTCTGGAGCTCAGATATTATTGAAGTAGAAAGAAGATTCAAGGGCCAAGAGGGCACAAGTGGTTATTGAAATCACACATGTGGACATGATCATTCAGGAGACTCTGAATTAAGAGAAGAACATCAAGTCTTGGGGCCCAAGACTTATCAACATTTTAGCGGCAAATCAGAAGAAGAGGCCTAAGAAGATGAAATGAAGAAAGTCAAGAACCTGGAGAAAAAGTGGAGAATTTTGCTACCAAAATCAAGAGGAAGAGCAAACATGAAGGAGAAGGGTTAATAAGAGCAGAATAACTATATGCTTTCACAAAACAATTTTATCTGTACTAAGGAGTCATGGATTTTTCCAGGTCGACTTAATAAGCCACTGATATTTCTCATTTATTTAATTTCAGCTATGTTTAGGCAAATTTTTTAAACCAACCATTGGAATATAACTTTTTCAGTTTCCTAGGGCAGCTGTGCAAGAAATTACCACAAATCTGATGGCTTAAAATAATAGAAATTCACTCTCTCACAGTTTTTAAGGCCAGAAGTCTAAAATCGAGCTGTAGTGAGGATTGATTCCTCCTTACTCCTAGATCCAGTACATCTCTCTCTCTTAGATTTTGGGGGCTGTCAGAAATCCTTGCCATTCCTTGGCATGACACAGAATAACTTGTCTCCATAATCACATGGTGTTCTGAAAAGGCTTATGTATTGGGGGCCTGATTCCCAATGCAGTGATGTTCAAGATGGGTCCTAGAGAGGTGAATGGGTCATGAGGGTGCTACCCTCATCAACTGATGAGTTGGGCTATAAAGAAGTGAGGCCCAGCTGAGGGAACTGATCGTCGATGCCTGCCTTTGAAGGGTATACCTTGCTCCTGACTTGATTTCTTTCTCTCTTTCTCTGTTTCCTGGATGCCTTGAAGTGAGCAGCTTTCCTCCATTATGCCCTTCAACCATGACATTTCTACCTCACCACAGGCTTTAAAAAACTGAGCCAGCTGACCATGGACTGAATCCTGTGAAACAGTGAGCTACAATAAATTCTTTACCCTTTAAGCTATGCATGGCAGGTATTTTGTCCTAGCAAAGAAAAGGTAATAATACACATGGTGTTTTCCCTGAGTGTCTGCAACCCTCCATCCCTTTTCTTATAAACACAGTGGTCACTGGGTTAATTGAGTATGACATCATTTAACTTTATTAAATTTACAAAAACTATGCTGCAAAATAAACCATCAACAGAACTAAAAGACAACCTAAAGTGTGGGAAAAAATTTTTACCAGCTGCTCCTCAGACAAAGGATACTTATCTAGAATATATAAAGAACTCAAAACAATCAACCTCCCCAAAAATAAAGACTCAATAAAAAAAATGGGCATCCGAAATGAACAGACATTTCTCAAAGAAGTAAAAGCAGCAAGTAAATATATGAAAAATGTTTGACATCACTGGTCATTCGAGAGATGCAGATGAAAACAACACTGAGATTCTACCTCACCCCACAAAGCATGGCTGCTATCAAGAAATCAAACAATGACAAATGTTGGTGGGGTTGTGGGGAGAAAGGAACCCTTTTCCATTGTTGGTGGAAGTGCAGACTGGTGCAACCACTATGGAAATCAATATAGAGATACCTCAAAGAGCTGGAACTAGAGGTTCCATTTGACCCAGCCATCCCTCTGCTGGGTATCTTTCCAAAAGAATTAAAAGAATCATATCACAGTGATATATGTGCACCTATGTTTATAGCAGCACAGTTTGTAATAGGTAAAACTTGGAAACAGCCCATCTGCCCATCTGTTGGAAACTGGATAAAGAAGATGTGGTTTTTCTATAAAATGGAGTACTACTCAGCCATAAAGAATGAGAAATTAGAGTCATTCATAGGAAAATGGATGCATATTGAGGATATACTCCTAAGTGAAATAAGTCACACATGTGTAAATACCAAATCGTTTCTCTGGTGTGAATAAACTGTAATAGTACACAAGATCCTAATGAGATAACATACCTTATGAAACGGGAAGAAAAAGGCTAAAGGTGTAGGGAAAGTGGGAAGGGTAGGGAAAAGGTAATAAGGGAAAAGAAAAAAAACATGAGAAAATGAAGAAATGGAAATAAAGCATTTGTAAATAGGGAAGAAAGGAGGAGGTGAAGGGAAGGCAGGGATAAGGAGAAAAAATGAGAACCAAGACCTGTCGTGTAAAGGTACAAGATCCCAATGATGAATGTAACTGTACTGTATATCTAAAATGTACCAATACACTCAATGAGAAAAAAAAATTACAAAAACTATTTCCAAAGAATGTTACATTGTGAGGTTTTGGATAGAAATGAAGCTTGGGAAGACACTACTCAACTCAGTACACCCATCCTAGAAACAGCACCATAAATTTACAGATGTTACATCAACTAAAGTCTAGCATAAGGGGATATGTTTACAAATTAGCATAGTGAAAAAGTAGATGAATTTTATGTCAGCACCAACATTTTGCTCTTCCATTTTACTGTTTGAAGCTCAATAGAAATTCTTCACACTGAACACTTTTTATTTGATATCTCATGTGCTATGAGGCACCCCTTCAACAATTTCTATAGAAAAATAGTCTTTCTTTCTTCTTCCTTTCTTTATTTCCTTCCTTCCTTGCCTCCTGTCTCCTCAGGGAAATAATAGAAGCAGAAAACCTTCCTAACTGTTAAGGGCCTGGCCTGACTGTCTCATAACCATGCAGATGGCTATACTAATGGACTCTTTAAAGCTCTAAGTAATGAGAAGTGTGTCAAAGGACCATACAATAATTCACTAGGCAAAAGATACTTTTTTTTAATTATCAGCAGATATTCACCGCACACTATGGTCTTTGTGGCACTGATATAGGGGAAATAAATGTAGCTCCCAACCTGCTAGATGTCAGATAGGCCACGGGCATGTTCCCCAGAATCAAAGAATGAATTCTAAGGAACAAAGGAGGTTAAAAGTAGGAAAAATTTATTGAGACAGAGAGTGAGCAAGCGCATGCTCCTGAGAGACAGGTGGGGACCCAGAAGAGAGTTGCAGCAAGACCCTACTGCACAGAGGAAGCTTTATGGAGCAAACCCACAAGACAAGTACAGCATGGGTCAAAACTATGATCAACCAAAAAGATTGCAAGTATAGCCTTTTAGGTAATATTGATCCAGTGGGGAAGCAGGTAACACAGCAAGCATACATGGAAAGAACAAAGGCCTTGTTAGGAAGGGACGGATCAGGTGATAGCCATTCTAGGTGCACACCCACACAGGTGAACGATGTCTTTCTAGACTTTAATGGATCAGGTGATACCCATTATGGTACACTGCTTATCCCTTGGGGAGGTAGGTAGGCCTGGCCATTCCCCAGGAATCTTGAGGCCTGGCCTCCAATAATGCACTTCCAGCCACAGTTGTAATATGTTCTCATCTTCTTCACTGATTCCCTCGAGGGCCTATAGCCCTGTCTGAACACCTAGAATATTTCTACCTAAGCTAGCTGTCTGTCATCGCATTATGGATATTAAGTGTATTAGGGTCTTTAAAAGTTTGCTGAGAGGACATTGGGGAGGGACAAAAATGTGCACAAACATAAAAATACGGTAACATTTTGTAATAATTCTGACATTACTTAGAGTCATTCTGTCAATGCAAGAAGTGACTCTGACACACGATTCATGGTGGAGGCTTCTCGATTATTCTTGGTTTCTTTTCAGCTGCTTTTCATCTGTGACACTTTCCACGGAGCCCCTGCGAACCCAGAGCCTGACAAGTTCTGAGGGGCGGTATTAGGGTGGTTTTAGGTTTTACAGCAGTTCCAGAAGTCGATGCGGCCTCTGTGTTCTATGTTGTAACTCTAAGGAGATGTCAAATACATCTGTCCAAGTCCCGGACAGATCGGACAGCTCTTCAATGAGGAAAAGTTAAGTCGTGTCCTAGTTCACGCGGCGCTGTGAAATGACCGTCGCATTAAAGAAACTGTCCGACAGGGCGTTTCTAGATGGGACCTGAACCAGGAAGAATCGAGAGTCCTAGAAATCTGTTCAAGCAAGTTCGTCTTGCCCTGAACGCCAGGTAAAACACGGCCGCAAATTTGGTTCAGGCCCGGAGTTTCCTCTGCGCAGGCGGGCAGGGCGCGGGGCAGCGCTCGGTTCCCACTTCTCCCGCCCCTTCCTTTTCTCACCGTCCCCGCCCGGTGCCCAGTCCCGAGGGCGCCGCTCCCGCACGATCCCGT